TTTTTGTATTTGATTTCTAACACTTGAGACATCCTTAGGGCGGCCCTCTTCAACTGTAGATTATAAAAATGTTAACCTATGTTTTTAAGGCTTTTGCAGTTTTATTTCTTATATTCAATATGGAATGTGCTTTTGTATAGGGAAGAAGGTAGGAATCCAGTCCTTCCCCATTTCCCACAACACCCATCATAGGCATCTCAGTACCATTTATTAAATGGGCTGTGACTTTTTCACATTTTTTTTCTTTTTGTAGACACAGGGTCCTACTACAAAGGGGACCCTCCAAAAAACAGAATCATCTTTTCGAAGGTGGGCCCCTTGTAGTACAGGCTTCCTCCACTAGGTAAGCATTCTAGGAATCTATCAGCAACAGTACCAGCTAGTGTTGTGAGAAACTGCCTTGTGGAAGAACCGTCTCGTGTTGTGACAAACAGGTAACTGGCTCTACCATGACGATGCACCCGCCCACACCGTGCTGAGTATTCAGCAGTTTTTGACCCCAAAATGGCATGACCTCCAATCCCCAATCTCCCTATTCATCCAATCTTGTCCTGAGTGATTTTTTTTTTGTTTCTTTGGATGAAAAATGTCCTCAAAGGAAAATGCTTTGCCCATGTGAAAGAGGTGAAACAAAAAAATGGCAGAAGCACTAGAAAGCATCAAAATTTACAAGTTCAAAAACTGTTTTGAGCAGTGGAAAAAGAGTCTTAAAAGGTGTATTGTGTCAAATGGAGAATACTTTGAAGGTGACTAAAGTTCAAACATGTAAGAATACACCATTTTTTATAAGTAAATTCCAGGTTTTTTTGGGTCTCCCTTTATGTGTTGTTTAGGTTGGTCTCGAACCCATAGTCTTAGTGATCCTCTTGCTCTGGCCTCCCAAAGTGCTGGGATTCCAGGCATAAGCCACAGTGCCCAGCCTAGACATGGACTGTGATTTTAGTCAGTAATTTGAAATCCATGTCTCTTCCCATATTTTTTCTTCTTCTTTTCTTTTGAGTCAGGGTCTTACTCTAAAGCCCAGGCTGGAGTGCAGTGACACGATCACAGCTCACTGCAGCCTAGACATTCTGGGCTCAGGAAATCCTTTTGCTTCAGCCTCCCAAGTAGCTGGGACTACAGGTGTGTACCACCAAACCCGGTTATTTTTTGGATTTTTTTTTGATGACATCTTGCTATGTTGTTCAGGCTGGTCTTGAACCTCTGGGCTTATGCAATCCTCCTGTCTCAAGCATCCCAAAGTGCTGGGATTACAGGTGTGAGCCACTGGGTCAGGCCCTTACTTTCCTTTTCAATAGTAAATTCAAGTCCTCAATGATCAGTAGGCTGTATGCTTTCCTGCCATGGCAGAAGTATAAGCATTATGCTCGTAATATGGTTTTATGATCATAAACTACCAGTGGCCTTAAGCTCAAACTGAACTCGTTGGCTCAATAATATGAGAAAGAAAACCACAGAATCAGCCAGACTAAAAATAAAAGTTATTATACTTGGCAAGTATTTCACAACTCCTTAAATAAGCAGCACTAAGTAACTCTATTCATAAGAAAACTGAGCCGCTTGATTCCCCTCCCCCAATGGAGCCAGTGCTTCCTGATAGATCTATACAGTGAAGGTCTGCCCTAAATTAAAGGACCTGAGCCTCCCTTGTGGCTGAACACACATTTTTCAAGCTCAAATATACTGTCTTTTATGGTTTAGAATTCTGGGTACTAAGTCAAATTTTGTGCAAGGTCTTCAAATGATTCAAAGTCCTATTTTTGAGAAGAGTTTGGTCCTGACGACAGGCATCTGTCTAGGATCAATACAAGTTGGACTCCTGAATGCTCACATGAGAAGTGAGCTCTGCTACTTGTCCTCTGGCATTTTAAGCATACAGATTTCTCTAATCAGCAACCGAGAATCTTGGTATTATTCATACTCTTTGAGAGAAGTCAACCAGGGCTTGACTGGAAACCTGGCGCCTGCCAAAGAAGCACCCTCCGACCCACAGGTCCATATGGGATATGCTTTATAGAAGTGATTCACTCTTCTGCCTCTTATTAGGAAACTGGGAGCCTGGTCTTCATGATCTCAGCCATGCTGCTTCTGAGTCAAGGCTTAAAGTTACACAGACATCTATACTGGTGCATATTTTTGAAAACTGTAGCTGAAGACATTGCCTATCATATCTCTTATAAGGGAGCTTCAAACCTAAAGGTAAGATAAATAGATAATCCCTGGGGTTTAGTCCATTTAGTATTTCTGTTTGCTTTTCTGGTTACCAGGCTTCAAAATATTTTTTAATACATATTTCAACATTGTTAGGTCTGTTAGATCATTTTATAAAGTAGGCAGACTGTAAGTGTCAAAAATGGAGGGATTTGACTGTTTTGTTTGCCATTCTTTTCCCAGCATCTAGAGCAGTGCCTGCCTGTAGTCTGTGGTTAATAAATGTGATAAATAAATGATGAGAAAATGAATGATTACAAAAATAGACAGCAAAATATGTATCATATAAAAATAGAAAACACTGTGTGTATTGTATTTGCTTGTTTTTTTATTTTTTGAGTTGGGATCATTTTTTGAGTGACATGATCATGGCTCATGACAGCCTTGACCTCCTGGGCTCAGGTGATCCTCCCGCTTCAACATCCTGAGTAGCTGGGACTATAGGCACCTGCCACCATGCCCGGCTAATTTTTTTATTTTTTGTAGAGACAAGTTTTTGCTATGTTGCTATTTTATTGAGGCTGGTCTCAAACTCCTGGGCTCAACCAATCCTCCTGCCTCAAGTCTCCCAAAGTGCTAAATTGCAGGCATGAGCAACCATGCTTTGTCCCACTCATGTTATTAACAATCTAAAGGTAAAGAGTTTTTGCTTGTAATCTCATTTGCTCATTCAATAAATTTTCACTGCACATCTATCACATGCCAGAATCCCTCTGACACAGCTATTGCTCTCCAGGGCATTCATAGATCTACTAGGGTAGTAAGCCAAGTCATCATCAGTTCAGAGACAGCGTGATGAGAACAATGCTAAGAGCTGTGCATGGATATGCGGATACCCAAGGAGCTTAGGAGAGGGCATTTGGCCAGCTAGGAATCTAGGGAGTGGGCCAGGGAGTGGGGGATAGTTCCTGAGGGAGGCTGTGGCCAAGGTGAGCCTCAGGGTATGAGCAGAAGACAGTCAGGGAGAAGCAAGGGAAGGCATGGCTCCAGGAGCCCCAAGGATGGAGCACAGCAGAGAGAACCAGCAGGCAGTGGGTAAGGAAGTAGAAAGAGCTGGATGTGCCTGTAGCATCAAGCAAGAGGCAGGAAGTGGTGAGCAGTGAAGCAGTAGGGAGGCGGAAGCCTGCCATACCCTGAGAAGACTGGAATTCATTCTCTCAGCCATGAGGAGCTTTTGAACAGACCTTCAGCTGGGAAGTGACCTGGTTGGATCTGCACCTTAGATGGGTGATCATAATGTCCTAGTGAAATCTGCACTAGAGGGAGCCAAGACGCAGGTTGGCAGGACCAGTTATTATAGGTGAGAGTTGATAAGGGTCTGGTTATCACATGGTTTCAGAAATGGAGAAGCGCAAAGGAGAAATATTTTAGAGTAAACTGGTTATGTACTTTTAAAATATATTTTTTATTCTACACTTCATTACCAGTCAATTATGATTGGGCTCTTGCTTTGTGAGTTTTCTTTCCAAAGTTTATGACAATTCAAACTCTTTTATGGATTAGAATTCTGAGCACAAAGTCAAACTTTGTGCAAGGGCTTCAATTGATCCAAAGTCCTATTTTTGAGAAGAGTTTAGGTCCTGACAACAGGCACCCAGACAGCCATCTGTCTAGGAATCAATACAAGCTGGAATCCTAAATGCTCACGTCTGTAATCCCAGTTTCCTAATAATACGTCATAAAAACAATAAATGTTTTTATGACAATTCTTGATTTAAAAGAACAACTGCTAAAGTTGTCATTACAAAGTACAGCCACTTCTCTGCTTGCTTAGTAAGAGTAGCAGACTGAAAAAAAGGTCATGCTGACCTTGCTAAATTTACCTTCAGGAATATATACAGATCTAGATAAGCACACAATACATAAGGTTTAATCCTATCACAGGTATGGAAAGAACTTTAAGATCAACATACAGACTTGCCCAAATACCTACCCAAAACAAAAGTAAAAAAAAAAAAAATCTTCAAATATGTTTTATAGCTAGGTGTGGTGGCTCATGCCTGTAATCCCAGCACTTTGGGATGTGGAGGCGAGAGGATTGCCTGAGCCTAGGGGTTTGAGACCAGCCCGTGCAACTTGGCAAGACTTTGTCTCTACAATAAAATAAAAAAATTAGCTGGCCTCGGTGGCTCAGCCTGTAATCCTGTGCCTTGGGAGGCTGAGGTAAATGGATTGCCTGAGTCTGTGGGTTTGAGACCCGCCTGGGCAACTTGGTGAGACCTCATCTCTACAATAAATAAAAAAATTAACCGGGTGTGGTAGCGTGCACCTGTAGTTCCAGCTACTTGGAAGGTTGAGGTGGAAGGATAGCTGGAGCCCAGCAGGTCAAGTCTGCGGTGGCCAGGAGCGGCCACTGCACTCCAGTTTGGGTGACAGAGTGAGACTCCAACTCAAAAAATAAAATAAAATAAAAATAAAAATAAAAAAATTAGCTGGGTGTGGTTGCATGCTCCTGTTGTTCCAGCTACTTGGAAGACTGAGGTGGCAGGTTCGCCTGAGCCCAGCAGGTTGAGATTGTGGTGGCTGTGAGCATGCTACTGCATCCCAGCCTGGGTGACAGAGTAAGACTCAGACTCAAAAATAAAATAACATAAAATAAAAAATAAACTGTTAGAATATGAGATAGAATATAGAAACAATACTTTCAAAAAGATACTCTCCCTGTGAGCAAACTTAAAAAAAAGTATTCTCTTCAGTCATTTTTTTTTCTTTTCCAAAATGATAAGACAGTGAGTTAATAATCCAGCACTGTTTTTCACTGACTACTGCCAACATCTGACCGATGTTACCTTATGCACGATGAGCTCATGAGTGCCATCTGGAAGGGTCCTACCATCTTCCTGCATCAGAGGGACAAAAGAGAAACCAAACAACTTCTTCTCTCCTTTCTCCTTCGCTGTTAAAAAACAAAACAAAACAAAAAATACACTTGCTTATTTAAGTGTGTGCTTACACATCTGTGTTCAGATAAATACTTTGTCAGGAACATGATCATCAATAAATATAGCACCCATATCCCAGCTTCCTATCCACTATGGAAAGCAGCTTTTAGGATAGGCCATCTATCTAAAGTAGCCACCTTCCAACCCCATATTCCTGCCCCCTAATCTGCAACTTACATTTCTTGCTTAATTTTATTCATGGAACTCACTGTCTGAAATTATGATTTTATAAAATTTGTGAATTGCCTTTTTTCTTCTATTCACATCTCAACCCCATCCCTAAGCACCAATGAGGTCAGCATTCTTGTCTGTTTTGTTTTATTGTTTCAAAGAGGGCCAAGAATATAGTAGTTTCTTAATAAGTATATTGTAAACCAATCAGTGAGCGAATGAATATGAAATGCAATACTTTGCTTACTACCCATGGAAACGGAATCTCTAAGCTCTTCCTTGGTCCATGACAAGATTTTCCCTATATCCACACATGTGAGGAGAATGAACTTTGCAGAAGCTACCTCTTTGGAATAATTTAGGCATGCTGGAAGACAATATGAATTGCGACTTATAGTTTAATAAGGGTTTACTATTCTGGATGCCAGAAATGAGGCAAGGAGGTTTCAGATGCCTAATTAAGAATTACAATGAATAGAAATGCCAAGGATCATTAGCAGTTATTTATAAATAAGGAAATTGAGGTCACAGATGTTAGCTACCTTGCTGTATATCTCTTAAGTACCATTCCAGTTCTTTCAACCAATCTTTATTTCTCAAAAAAAAAAAAAAAAAATGGAGAAAGCATTAACAGAAACTTGTTTGGTCAACTGGACTTTCCCCTTGTACTCAGACGGGAAGAAAGGAGTTCTCCAGGGCCAGCAGTGTGTTAAGAGCTAGGAGGTTTATTCTTTCCCACATAAGTGGAACATTGTGCTTGAAGAAAATTCACCTTTAGGATGCTGTATGACCTGAACTGGAGGAGTTAAATGTTAAATGAAGATCAGACAAGAAGTTTAGCAACACATAATTCCCTTACAATTGCTCCTGGCATTGAAACACAGGAAAGTGGAGCCTCATGCAGAGAACAGTAATTTTGGCTAGCTGGTATTAGCCCCCAGCATGAGGACATCCCCGAAAATGTGATTATAGCAAAGGACTTTCCTTTAGAGTCATGAATTTCATCCCCAAAGAGAACCTGGGCAAATATTGATGTTTTTTAAAGTCAAGAAAATCACACCAAAGACTCTGAGAAGAGGTTTTACATCAATTACAGTAGTAGAACTTGTAATTTAGAGGAATTTTGGGATTGTGTTGAATCTATTACTTCATTTAAGAACTGACATCTTGATGATAGTGAGTCTTCTTATGCACAAACATGGAGGCTCTTACATTCTGTACAGCAAAGCTTCTCAAAAGATTTGTCTATACTCACTGTTCCTCCTTCCTTTCCTCCATCTCACTCCTGAATTTATCACCACAAATTCACAAAAACTACTTGTCAGGTTCAATGACTTTCATGATGACAAATCAAATGACAATTTCCATCCTCATCTTATTTGAGTTATCACTGGCACCTGACAGATCTGACCAATCCTCTCTTGAAAAACTGCCTTCATTTAGCCTTCTGGATTCTATTCTTCCTTCGCTGTTCTTCAACTTACTGGATATTCCTTCTTTTTTTTTTTGAGTTGGAGTCTCACTGTCGCCTAGACTGGAGTGCAGTGGCACGCTCCTGGCCACTGCAGCCTCAACCTGCTGGAGTCTGGCAATCCTTCTGCCTCAGCCTTCCAAGTAGCCGGAACTACAGGCACGAACTACCACACCCGGTTAATTTTTGATATATTGTAGAGACGAGGTCTCACTAAGTTGCCTGGGCGGGTCTTGAACCCACGGGCTCAGGCAATCCACTCACCTCGGCCTCCCAAAATGCTGGGATTACAGGCTGAGCCACTGAGCCCAGTCGGATATTCCTTCTTAATGTTACTTAATGCCTCCTTTGCATTCTTCCAGTTCTAAATGTGGTGACTGCCCAGAGATCCATCCTTGGACTTCCTTTTGCTAGGGAAATATACCACTAGGAATCTCAATCAGTCTCAGAACTCAAAAAAAAAAAAAAAAAAAAAAATCATCAAAATTGGTGATGTGCTGGAGCTAGATCATACTGGCTCACAAGAGCTGAGAGTGCACATCTCTTCCCAACTCTACATTCAGTGATGTCATATTGGGAGCTTGAAACTGGCCACAGTGGGAGTATTTCCTTCATGGCAATTAGCAAATGCTAAGATCAGGGCTCCCACTCTACCAGTGCTGGTTATTAAATACCTACAGAAGACCAACCACTGAACTATATTCTCCTTTCCAAGATTAAGTTTTTAACCTGAATTTCATTCAACTACCTATTTGACATCTTGAATGACTAACAGACATTCTAAGATTCAACATGACTAAAATGAAATGTTTGATTTTTTTATTCCCCAAATAGACTTTTCCTATTGTCTTCTCTATTTAATTAAATGATCACTTCATTCTCAGGCAAAAATATTTGGGTCATTCTTGAATTTTCTCCTTCTTTCACATCTAATCTGCTAACATTCTGTAAAAAAAAAAAGTGTTAAACTACTACTATCCTAATATGGAAACACATTCATTTCTTACTTGGAGGACGAATAAAGCCTCCCAAATGGTCTTCCTGTTCCCAACCATACAACCTGTAATCTATTACTCATACAGTAGCCAGACTATAATCACTCCAAATCCTCCAAAGACTCCTCTTCTCACTCCAAATAAAATCCATGATCCTCGCCATGATGTAAAAGACAGTATGAGATCTGGCTCCCGGGCTCCCTGTGTGGCCTCCTTGCTATTCCTTAAAAATGCCAAGCATGTTTCAACTTCATGTCTTTTGTACTGTTCTCTCTGCTTAGAATATTCTCTCCCCAGATATCTCAACAGCTCAGGCCTTCACTTCTTTTAGTCTGTTGCCAACACATCTCCTTATAAGAGAAGTCTTTCTTGAATGCCTTATATAACATGGCAACACAGTACCATCACTTTCTAGCCCCTAACCCAAATTTAAGTCCTCTTTACTGCACTTCATCACTTACTACCTGGTATATTACATATTTAGTTTCTCCTTTGTTATCTGTCTTCTGTCTCTGGAATGAAAGCTCGGTGAGAGGAGCTATTTTGGTGTGTTCACTGATGTATCTCCAGTGTCTGGTATATAGTAGGTATTCAATAAATATCAGTTTAATGAATAAATGATAATTTTGCATAATATATATACAAGAGGGTACCCTCTAAAATGGAATTTATTTATAAAAATCGTGTATTTATTCTTACATGTCTAAACGTCAATCACCTTCAAAGTACTGTCTGTTTGATGTAAGACACCTATCAAGACTCCTTTCCCACTGCTCAAAATAGTTTTTGAATTTGTCAATTTTGATGCCTCTTAGTGCTTCTGCCACTTTTTGTTTCACCTTTTCTACATTGGCACAATGTTACCCTTCAAGGACTTTTTTTATCCCAAGGGGGGAAAAAAAGTTTCCTGAAGTGAGATCGGGTGAACAGAGAAGATGGGGCATGGAGGTCATGTCATTTTTGGTCCAAGACTGCTTAGTGAGGTGTGAGCAGGTATGCTCGTAAATCACCCATCATGAAATGGGCAAATGCTTTGAAAGAATCTCAAAAAAAAAAAAAAATTCCTGAAGCCGAATGCAACCTCTCACAGTGTTAGCTGGTACACTGATGCTGACAGGTTCCTAGATCACTTACCTAACAGGGGAAGCCTGTACTACAAGGGGTCTGCCCTCCAAAAAATAATTCCAGTTCTCTTTGGGATCCCTCTTGTACAAACAGAAATATCTGGAAGCCCAAGTGATAAAATAATTACATTGATTATTCACAGTTTATGGTATTATGGGGATTTTTTTTCTTCTTTACACTTTGTTGTTTCTTCTAAATTTTAATAACGGATATAAAAAAAAAAAACCCAAACCTGTGAGCAATGTTTGAAGTGCAAGGACAAGAGGGCAGAGATCTAAAATATTTCACTGAAAATGGTCTTTTATTCTGCTTTCCAAGTTCTGAATTATAAGTTTTTCTTCAAACGTTCTTTCTCCCTTTCCCTGCTATTTCCCTTTATTCTTCTCTATTTTTTTCTTATCTTAAAGCTCATATTAGGCCCAAGTGAGAATTTATAAGAAAGATTGGTGGAAGGAATAGTAGGGCACCATTCCAAGTCCTGTACATGAAACTCTCCTGGGAATTTGAAAGAATTGTAAGACCCTGCTAGCCATCTTCCTGCATTCTAAAACATTCACAAAGCATAATTTATGAAGCTCCCTGAGCCAATTCTGAAATATGCCATGGTTCCAGCAATGGACAAAGTCCTTCCTTTCTGCCTGAGCCATGGGTGAATTACAACATCACTCAGGTGAAGTCATCATAAATCTCTTGGCAAGGCCCCTATTCCTTCTAGACTGGAGAGGAGCCTGTTGCTTTTCCAATAATGTAATTCTCCTGTATCTCTCACTTGTCGTACTGTTCCCAAAGCAAGATTCACTGAAACCTTCTCTGGTCACAGTGTATACTTCGGCGTATAAGACACATTCAGAGAGACCCGGGGAATACCAGAAGATTCCTGAACTGGGGCTGTGTGGGGACAGGAAGTGGAGGGTTGAGTAGGTGGTAATGAATGCAAAAGAATTAAAACAGGGACATCAAGAAATAGCAACTTTATGGATAGCAATGTCCACACAGACAAATCCAGGAACATTTCTATGTCTTGGATTGTTTAAGTCTATACAATGAGGCAATTATTTCAAATTTCTGGCTGACATTATTTGATTCTCATTTGAATACTGTCTGAGACTGGATAGCGATACATATAAATGCAAATCAGGTATAAATCTGAGCCTATTGAAGGCTTCCCTAGTGGTTTCACATGCCTAGGGAAGTCCTAGTAGGTTGCCCTGATCTGTCTGGAGCTCAAACGGCTGCTAGTGATACCAGACTGGCTAGGGTGGCCTGAGACCACCAGACTGTTCAGTTTTAAACGTGGTCTCCCCTTTCTGGCTAATCTTTCTAGACTGTCCATGACAAATTAATCTTTTTTTTTTGAGTTGGAGTCTCCCTCTGCTGCCTAGACTGGAGTGCAGTGGCCGCTCCCGGCCACCACAGCCTCGACCTGCTGTGCTCCAACGATCCTTCTGCCTCATCCTTCCAAGTAGCTGGAACTACAGGCCGGTGCTACCATGCTCGGCTAATTTTTTGATTTATTGTAGAGATGAGGTCTAGCCAAGTTGCCCAGGCGGGTCTCGAATCCGCGGGCTCAGGCAATTCACTCACCTCAGCCTCCCAAAGCACGGGATTATAGGCTGAGCCACCGAGCCCGGTGACAAATGAATCTTTATCGAAGTAATCTATATATTTTTCTCCTCCTTCTCCTTCTTCTATGCTTCCATTTAGGTTATTGGCTCTTTGAGAAGTGAGCTCACTACCCTCCACGATTCCCCCGTGCCTCCTCTTTCCCTCGGAGGCCTTTCATTTTTCACACACTTTCTGCAGAGCAGCCCACATGTGCCTACAGCTCAGCACCCGGATTACCCCAGCACAACAAAGACAGATAGCCAGCTCCACCATGTACTTACTGGAACAGTGCCGAAATTCAAAGCGGATGTGTGCACCCCGGAACTTATCCACGGGAATGGGAAGTTTCAGCAGTTCAGACCACCGGGGACTGTTGTTATGATAAAGCACAAAGGAGTGGTATTCACTGGCTGGTGGCTCTCCAGAGCCAAAGGAAATAAAATCCTAACAAAGGAAACGTGTCATTTAAAGAAAGCTTCATTTACCTTATATAATGCAACAAATAAGAAATGTGATATTTTGACTGATCACAAGCTTTTTCTGGCACATTTTTTGGCAAAATCATTTCCACAAATCACTTTTCTGCAAAAATAAAAAAGGTCATCAAAATTTATACTTTTAGGATTTTCCTTTTCAATCAGTCTAATTGAAGGAACACCAGTTGTTCTTGACAAATGAAAGGCGACAAATAATTTTTTTTTTAAGACTAGAAAACATAGCTTATTCAGAAAGTAAATTACAGAAAGTAAGAAAGAGGAGATTCACCTCCCCAGGGTAGGGGAGGAGGCCAAAGCTTAAGAAAACATGGCCTGACCATAGCTCAGCAAGGCAATGGCGGTGATGGTATGACAATGGCCACAATGGCCTGGCAACGGCTGACAAATAATTTTTATAATTTTTAATTTTTAGAGGAACTTATTAGTGATATAACTGTTATTGATCTGCTATTGGATTCAACTGTTTTTGGACCTGTTTAGTATATCTAGAGCCAATGAGTCTTGTGGAATTATTTTTCTAGAAAGGTTTAACTCTTCATACAAATCATTTTTGTGTAAATCTGAATTTAATTTTAATGCAAATTTATACAATGTCATTTCAATGTTTTCTTCGATTTTTCTGTAACGTGTGGGGGTCAAATAAGAAACTGAAAGTGGCTTCATGGTTTGTACATAATTCAGAACACCTGTTTATGCACATATTGTATCTTCAATTACAAAGATAATTAATTAATTAATTAATCTTAAAGATGTGGGGTACAATTCAGGGTTAGGTATATAAAGGTTCATTATGCAGGTACCCTTCTTGATGAGGTGTGTGTCCCCCCCCCTGTAGTTTCCCACTACTGTCAATTCCACCCTCCCCCCTGCCCCTGGATAGTTTTCCACTATTGCCAATCCCTATGAAAATTTAACGTTAAAAAAAAAGAAAGTTTAAAGGTTCATTTAAAGGTTCTTTTGAAAAAAGCAGAGTGATCATTGTGCTCTAATCATCTGCTCCCTAAATAGCCTTCCACATGAAATGACTTGAGGTCCTTTGCTCTGTTGTGTCTGGACTTGCTCTTGCCTAGTTGGGTACATCTGTTTAATTCTGATGCTGGTCTCCAAGGACTTAGTTAATGTGCGACACATAAGATATGGGCAATTGCATGTCCCATGTGGAGTTCAACTACATGGCAAAGTTCCCAACCTGCTGCAGTCAAAAGTCTGTTCTGTGCCTCAATGGATGCCTCACTAAGCCTCAGGCCAAGTCTCTTATTTGAATAGGCAATTGTATTTCTCCACAAAGATGGGGCTCATGAAAAATAGTTCTTCCATAAAGGAACCTGCTATTAACATTCCAATTAGTAAGGAGTGCCCCTGTCTTCACACACTATGTTGGTCAGAATGAAAATACATAAGTTTAAACATCATGGTATGTTTTTTTCTTCAACCAATTGCCAATGTGAAAGCATTAATCTCCAAAACTACAACAGATGAAAGGAAAAAAAATGAAATTGTATTAAAAAATAGTGCATTTAAACTAAAACCCACACTGAAAGGCTACCTAACTCCAGACAGGATGGCCATCATCAATAACTAAAAAAAAAAAAAACAAAAAAACAACAGATGCTGGAGAGGATGCAGGGAAAAGGGAACACTTCTACACCGTCGGTGGGAGAGTAAACTAGTACAACCTCTGTGGAAAGCAGTGTAGTGATTCCTAACAGAGCTAATAATCAACCTCCCATATGATCCTACAACCCCCTACTGGGAATATACCTGGAGGAACTCAAATCACTCTATTAAAAAGATACCTGTACACACACGCTTATTGCAACACTGTTCACAATAGCAAAAACATGTAACCAACCGTGCTGCCCATTGAAAGAGGACTGGATTAAAAAAATGCAGTACATATACATGATGGAATATTATGCAGCCATAACGAAGGACAAAATTATGAACTTCACGGCAACTTGGGATGGATTTAGAGGCAATAATACTGAGTGATCAGCCACAGAAACAAAGAATTGAGTATCACATGTTCTCACTCATAAGCAGACCTTGAATAACTATCAGAATGCTGTAAGAAAGGGATTGGCAGTAGTGGGAAACTGCCGGGGGATGGTGGGACAGCACATCCCATCAACAAGGGTACTTGCATAATGAACATTTGTATAGCTAACCCTGAATTGTTCCCACATGTTTAAAATTTGAAAAAAAAATAGTTTATTTCAGGAAGAGTTGCTATAAGAAAATTCTTGACAATTAATTAAAACATAACAGCCTTTTTTTCCACTTTCTTTTCTGAGAGGTATTTTAGTGAATTAAAAAGAAAACCACACAAAGTGGAGAAAAATAAGATAGAAAACATCGCAAATCACAAGTTAACTGATGACATTAAAGATTAAACCAAAGCAATTATATAGACTTGCTTTACTTAGAAAGATTCCACGTTAACATACCTTTAAGGTCTGGCTACTGCTGTCTACGACGTACATTGTGACTTCCACATTTCTGGCCACACTCTTCCCTCCTTTCTCAAATTCTCCCCTTTCTATGGTAATATATAAATCATTCCTCATTTCACCTATTAGGAAAAGAAAATTAAAACCGTGTTATATATATTAGGCAGTATGATAAAGTACTCTATCGAGGAAAATTTTAGTTTATAAAATACACTCATATTATAAATATAAAAGTACAAATGTTATATTTGTACCCTTACAAGAGGGTCCTTACCCTCACTGTCACTAGCTGAGAATAAAAATCAGCCCTGTTAGTCTGAATTAGCAATATAGCAAGCGTACATCTGGGAGGTGAATACTGGACTGTGTAGGAAGGTGTTGTCAAGTCTCACCATTTTTCAGTATTTCTCTCATTTTATTTATGAGGTATGACTATAAAATGACAGCCTAACAGGAATGGCTTGTAGAAATCAGTCTTATTACTTTACAGTTGTAGCAATTTAGAGTAAAGAGCTACTTAAATAAAAAAATAGGTTTGCAGAGGGTAAAATTACAATTTAAATCTTTCCCAAGATTCATGGACAAGTGATCTCACTGCTGGAAAAGTCCAGATTAGTATTTTATGAACACAGATGCAGAATAATTCAGTCATACACATTCAACTTAATATTTCATACCTTTGAGCTATAAAACAGGTAAGAAAGGCTCCAGATTCAAACTGATTCATTCTATATACACATATATGATCTATTTTTTTTCTTCATTGGTGGTTTATCAAACCTGAATGTTTTTTAACCTTATCCCTTTCTTATTGTAAGAAAAAAAAAATCGAGTGCAGTGGCTCGCACCTGTAACACCAGCACTTTGGGAGGCCAAGGTGGAAAGATTGCTTGAGCCCAGGAGCTTGAGAACAACCTGGGCAATGGAGAAAGAACCCACGTCTACAAAAAAAATGTCAAAATTAGCTGGGCTTGGTGGCATGTGCCTGCAGTTCAAGATACTTGAGAGACTGAGGCAGGAGGATCCCTTGAGCCCAGGAGTTTGAGGGTGCAGTGAGCTATGACTGTGCCAGTCCACTGCAGTCTTGGCTACAGAGCAAGACCCTGTCTCTATAAAAAAGGTCTAAAAATGACCAAAAAAAGAAATTTAATGCCAACTAGCAAACTTAACCAAATGTGCTAACAGCATGTTTTTACCTCTCCTAAAAGTATTAAATTAGGGGGAAATGGTGAATGGATAGGGAAGTGAGAAATTAGATCAACAAAGGGCTGCTAGAAAGATTTTGAAGGTAAATGTTGGTGAAATGGCAAGGTTGAACTTATATTTAAAACAGCTTTTGAACATCTGAAAAATCAAAAGTAATACTCTTTGTTTTCTAATAAAAAAAAAAACTTCCCTATGAGAAAGTAAATAACTAGAAAAAAAAATAACTATACAATTATGTCCACAACTGGGAGATCTGTAACATTTCCTGAACAAAGTGTGTACAAGAAAGTACCCAGTTATTCAACACCATGGGGAAGATCAGTGTGAATGATCATCTTCCTCCATAAAGACCAACTTTTGATGATGGCATCATTTGTGAATGACCTGGGATGACAAGGAAACAGATGGGCCATAAAACAGAGAAACTGAGTAAATTCTAAAAGAATTCAATCTTAGTCACCCTTTTGAAGAGTACATAAAATACACATTAGTAGAAACAATTGATACAGAGGTCTCTAGCTTGAGTCTTTTACATACTCTTACAAACCAACTTGGGCAGGCAATGAATTTAGAAGTTTAGAAGAAAAGTCCAGACTCTGTGGCTCAGCCTGTAATCCCAGTGTTTTGGGAGGCCGAGGCAAGTCTGAGCCGGCGGGTTCAAGGCCAGCCTAGGCAATTTGGCGAGACCTTGTCTCTACAATAAAACAAAAATTGGCCGGGCATGGTAGCGCATGCCTACAGTTCCGGCTACCTGGAGGGCTCAGGAGGAAGAATGGCTGGAGTCCAGCAGGTCTACACTGGGGTGGCTGTGAGCATGCCACTGCACTCCAGCCTTGGTTACGGAGTGAGACTCTGACTCAAAAAAAAAAGGAAAACAAAAGAATTTTAGGAGAAAAGCAGCATATTTCAACACATTAAAAATTATATGTATATATACTTTGAAAGTTTTCTGTTTTAACTATTTTCATTTTTAAAAAAAAATTTTCAGAGAATAGCCCAGTACATTTTACCAGTTGGCTAGATTTTCTACAATGCATTTTACTTTGTCACTATTTATACTTTTTCCTATACGTATATACCCTTAATGGTATAACAATTCCACCATAGAATGAATACAAACTCCCAAGCTTTATCCTCTAAATTAACTGACTTCAACAAACAAAAAATAGGTCTGGTACACTGATAGTCTGTACACATGCTGGTTCAGCTAGAGGTTTGGCAGGAAATTCTTGACAATAGTTTTCCCACTAAGAGATTTGGCAGGTAGGAAAAAAAAAAAGACACTCAAGTCAAGGTACTTTGGACAAAAGATGCTAGCTAACAACTGCAAAATTCCTTTGCTTCTTGGTATAGGTGACACATAAGCTCTGCTTAAAAATAGACTATAAAACATACACTGATGAATGGGAAGTGGAGCTACAGGGGTTTTGACCTCAGGAATGTCTAATAAGTAAGCAGCTTTTCAAAACCACACAGAGATCGGATTGGTTGAACTTACTTTTATATAACACAGCTTTCAAATATTTGGAAAACAAAAGTAATTTTTATTTATTTATTTTTTTAGTCAGAGTCTCACTCTGTCGCCCAGACTGGAGTGCAGTGGCACACTCACAGCCACCGCAGCCTCGACCTGCTGGGCTCAGGTGATCCTTCTACTTCAGCCTTCCAAGTAACTGGAACTACAGGCGTGTGCCACCATGCCCAGCTAATTTTTTTTTTTTAAATTTATTGTAGAGACAAGGTCTTTCTATGTTGCCCAGGCTGGTCTCAAACCAGTGGGCTCAGGCAATCCTCTCGCCTCCACTTCCCAAAGTGCTGGGATTATAGGTATGAGCCACCGCATCTAGTCTCTGTTTTCTAATTAAAAAAAAAAAAAAAAAAGTCCTGCAAAGTGAAGAGTGTTTCTTGAGGGTGGTTTCCACTCTCATCTTCTGGAAGGATACGGTCACTCAGACTCCAGCAAAGGCAAGAGGGGAGGAGGGAGGTGTGCAAGGTGAACTACTTTCCCCCGTCTGTAGGCCAGGCCCAAAGGGGAAAGGTGAGATTGTATCTCCAGTGTCGCAAAATTCTTTTCCATGTACTGGTATTCATTCAACAAATATTTCTAGAGCATCTACTACAAGAGGGGAACCCCCCAAACCTGGAATTTATTTATAAAAAATTGTGTATTTATTCTTACAAGCTTAAACTTCAGTCACTTTCAAAGTACTCTCTGTTTGACATAATACACCTTTGGAGACACTTTTTCCACTCTCAAAACAGTTTTTGAATTCATCAGTGTTGATGCCTGTTAGTGTTGCTGCCATTTTTTGTTTCACTTTTTCCACCTGGGCAAAATGTTTCCCTTTGAGGACTTTTCTTATTCAAGGAAACAAAAAAAGTTACTAGGGGTGAATAGGGAAGGTGAGGAATGGGAGTCATGCTGGTTTTGGTAAAAAACTCATGAACACTCAGCATGATGTGGACAGGTGCATTGTCATGGTGGAAGAACCAGTCACCTATCTGCCACAACTTGGGATTTTTTTTCTGAAAATTATAAAGCTTCTCAAAAATTATATGCTTCTAGATAAAAAATTTGGTTGACTGTTTGATCCAGAGGAACAAATTCCAAGTGTACTACAAGGGGCCTGCCTTCCAAAAGATAATTCCACTTTTTGGGGTCCCCTTTTGTATGCACTAGATATGATTATTCTAGGCCAGGTAGATTCAACAGTAAACACAGCAAAAATCCTTTCTCTACAGAGTCTAGGAGTAGGACTTTAATAAATAAGTCCTACTTATTTAGGACTTCTAAGTAGGAGTAAGTCTTTAATAAATAAGTAAAATGTACAGCACATTGAATGATAATGAATGCTATGGATAAAAGTGAGAACAGGGATAAGAGACGCTGAATGTGGATAGAGGAAGAGTTTAATTTTCAACAGGGTAATGAGAGAAGGCCTCATGAGAATTTCAGCGACATGAGTAAGCTGTGGTGTGTTTGACAAAGGGGCAAAGTTACAAAGGGTTGAGCTTCTCAGGCCAATTCTCAAAGCTTGAGAAGCTTATAACTTAGCTGGATTATTCTACCTCTTCCTACAAAAGAGATTCTGAATTCAAATACTCTTAAAGACTGCAGGTTCACAGGACAATCAGAATAGGGACATCTAGGCTCTATTCCCTTTCTGCTACTGATATTCTGTATGACATCAGTCCAGAAGGGGTGATAGAAAGCTCTGGGTCTCAGATTTTGTTATTAAAATGAGAGTGGGGTACAGGTGGAGGTAGGGACAGGAGAGGTGTAGGAGTGACAAGACTACTTTGTCATGCTATGTGGTTTCTGTGCCTTACAAAGAGTTTCTAGAATATAACACATTCACAGATTAATACCCTTTATGAGTATGCTTTAATTTTCTGCTCTTTAACTCTCACTATCCCTGCAACCCCCTTTGTCTTTTGCAAATCATTTGGACTAAAGATTTCTTTGAAAAGAGAGCACATGAGAAGAATATTTCTCCTGGATGACAGTCTACATATGCCTCTCCCCAGGAATTCTGCAGCTTGCTATGTTCTAATAGTGCAAGGTGCTACATTTTGCCAAAGTGCAGAAGGATAGAGTTGAAATAAGTGCTAATTAAAATTGATGCACTTGAGGTTGACTCTGGAGAAAACTAATAAGCCCAAATGGTGTTAAGAAAGCATCTTGGGTAATTAAGAGAGAAACCATAAAGTGAATATGAAATGGAGTCGTAGCACCAGTGTGAAAAGCTATTTTCCTGACAATGTTTATTAACACCTCACACCTCTCAAATTTATTACTCTGTAAATTTGATATGCACCATACTTTCCTCGCCTTAGCAGACACATTGGCTGGAAAGCTTCCACATGTGTGGAGGCTTTGCAAAATATCATTGCAGGCAAGATAAGGATAAAGCCA